CCCACAGTCATCTTTTTGAAAGGTCCCAGGAGTGTTTGACAGTGACCTGGGCCACCCCTAGATGACCTCATCCTAACTCACCACATATGCAAACACCCTGCTTCCAAGAAGGTCATTCCCTGTGGTGCAAGGTGCTGGGAGGAGTGGTTAGAGAGGCAACAAGGGAATCTGAGGAGACAGCATCCCATCTGTGAGCCTGACTGTCAGGGGTGTTTGGGGGGGCACGCCTCCGCTGCGAAAAGCTGGAGAGGCCTCCTAAAGAAGGGGTGCTCGGATGGAGGATGGAGGGGGAGTGGGGGGACTGTCCAGGCAGGGGTGCACAGAGCCTCGGAGCCCTGGCAGGATCTAGCTAGCGGGATTTAGGTAAGCCAGGCTGTTATTAAAGTTTATTTAGTGCACAGTTATTTTTGTGCGGTGTAAGAATCCGGCGGACATTTAAGAAACTGAATTCCCTCTCCGTGGAGTGGAGTCTGGCGGCTTAGGGTGGCCTTGAGGGCCTCCAGAGTGTCCAGGAGAGAGAAAGTCAAAGGGGTCAGGAAGGGTGGTCTGGGGGACGCTTCAGAGAAGGCTGACAACGGGGTGCTGCAAACCTCGTCCATTCCTCACACCCCACTTCCCTCCTGCAGGTCCCCAAACTGGGGACTCTTTGCACAGGGCCTGTGTGAAGCTGCTGTGACTGCTGGGCCAGAGAAGGGGGCTTGGGGGCAAGAGGTGAGAGGGAAGAGATGTGGAGGCTCCTTGCTGGGTAGCTGTGAACTTGACCTCTGGGCTGACAGGCTAGCAAAGCTGCCCTTGCCTGCCCCTCCCATATCCCCATCTCCAGCCCTGATCTAGAGTTTTGTTCTTATTCAAGGTGGGGTTCAGGAGACCTGGGAGCACCGCGTCTCAGAAGCTACTATGCTGATGATGTTGAGCACACTTAGTGTCTTGGGAGGTGTGTTTACAGAGCTGTCGGCCTAGACAGGGGAACCTGGGCGAGCGTGGAGTCTGCACCTCCACGCCTTCAATGAAATAGTTCTCCGCTTCCCTCTCCTGCTGGATTCTGAAGGCCAGATTGGCCTTTGAGGAGGAGACTGGGTTGGGTTGAGGCAGAGCCCCTCTGTGGACAGGAGGGAGGGACTGAAGCTATGTTTCTTGCTTCATTAGAGTCCAACTTTGTATATTTTCCCCTCCAGTGGAATAAGATAGAGGGCCAGAGGTCTTGGGAGGAGACAACCGTGGCCACTTTAAGGTCCCTCCCCTTGTGACAGACTCTCAGGAAGTAAGCACCTGACCTCACTCTCTAGTCTGTGCCCTCTCCCATCCTGGTCCCAGTTCCCCCCACGTCTGATGTAAGACATCAGGGTGGTCCTGCCTCTGCCAGGCTCTGTGGCCCATCTTAGGCAGGCAACCCACTGCTCACCTGGATATGCCCCCCGACCCCGGCAGCATAGTAAGACTGTCTATCTTGCTCTCTATGACCTTCTGCGGAAAGCCCTTTCCTCTTCTGGGTCAGGAGGGAGAGATACCTCCAGCACTGATTGCACACCTACTGTATGCACGCTCTTTTGTGCTTTCCTTTGAAAATATTGGACATCTACCCAAACCTCAGTGCATGGAACACTGAGAATTTTCTTCCGCAGCCAGTCTATCCCGTTATTATCTGGTTATTGGGAATGTTGGGCTGGCCAGATACCTGTGGGTTGGTGAAGGATGTCCCACAGTGAAGTCATGCTGCTCCTGTGGATCCTTCTGCCCCAAGGATGGAGGTGGCTTTGGCTGGGGCTTAATGCAGGGCAGTTTCCTGAAGAGGGTTGCAGCTGACTCCCCAGTTGACAGGGAAGTTGACAATCCTCACATCCACTTTCTCACCCCCAGGAGAAAGGACCCACACCCAAGTATTTTACCAGAGCTCTCTCAAACGAAAGGCAAGCAAAGCAATTGATTGTCAGGCACCTGGCTGGAAGAGGTGGTGGTACAGCCATCAAGATGGAATTCAGTAAACAGGGACTTTATAAATAAACACTCACGAGGACCAAGACAAGCCACAAGGGACAGAGTAAGGGGGAGTGGCCTGAAGAGCAGGTAGCCTTTGTGCTAAAATGGGATGGAGGGGTTGGTGATTTGGCCCAACAGGCGAGGTGCTTGCCTAGGATGCATAAAGCCCTGGGTTTGATCCCCAGCACTGAGTAAACCAGGCAAGGAGTCAGGTACCTGTAACTCAAAAGCTCTTGGAGGCAGGAGGACTCAAGGTCATCCTCAGCTACACAGACAATTTGAGGCTATCCTGAACTGCATAAAACCCTGTCCAAGATTTTTAAAAGTCTGGGGGAAGGGGGCTAAGAACATCATGGTTTTTCTGTGTATGGGTTAATTTTTCTTGGCAAGATTTGCAAATGTTTGGGATTCATGATTGCCTTCTGATTGGGAAATGGGTATCTGAGGGTTGGAGGAGACTGATGCGTCCTCGTGTCTTCTGAATATTGAAACATGCACTCAGGCCGCTGAGATGACTCAACAGGTAAAGACACTTGTTGGCAAGCCTGACGACCTGAGTTCTATCCCCAGGGCTCACATAGTGAAAAGAGAGAACCGATCACTGTGAGGTGTCCTCTGACCTACATGTGCAGACTGGTGCATGTGCTCACTCCATTAGGCAATGCATACGATAATAATAAATGTAAAAAAATTAAAGGATTTCAATGTCAGCTTTAGCCATACAGCAGATATGAGGCCAACCTGGGCTACATGAGATTCTGTCTCATGCATATATAGATCTATCTGTCTGTCTGTCTGTCTGTCTACCTATCCATTTATCTTCCATTGCTTTTGTGCATGATTATTTTATAGTCAGCACCTGATAACCCTGGAAACCCTTTGGGCATTTGTCTCTGTCATTTATGATATCTTCTAGCTCTGACTCACTATGTTCATCTTTCTTGTTTTTTTTTTCCAACTTTGATTCTGAGAGTATTTTCTTAAGATTTATTTTTTATTTTTAAATTCTCTGTATGTGTGAGTGTATGATAGTATGTGCACATGAGTGCAGTTGCTCAAAGTGACCATAAGGGGTTGTTGGGTCCTCTGGGGCTGGAGTTAGAGGCAGGTGAGAGACACCTAACATGTCTTGAGCCCTGAGCCATCCATCTCTCCAGCCCCATGGTCATGGGCTTGTGTTTGACCTGAGTCTGCGAGGCTCCTGGAGGACTAAGGTGGAACATTCTCCTCCAAAGAGGATTTGTAGTGACTTTCTTTGAAGGTCAGGGACACCAGCCACTTTAGTGCTTGCAGGGATCTCAGGTGGGGTTCTCTGTCTATTCTCCCCACACAATCCCAGTGTGTGTGTGTGTGTGTGTGTGTGTGTGCGCGCTCGCGCGCGCGCGCGCACGCGCGCGCACGTGCTTCAGGGCAGTCTCAAAGAGTTCCCTACCTTCTCCCAAACCCCAGATCATGAAACATGGACGGCTGAGGATTGGGGTGTTCTGTAGAGACAAGGCTCTTTGCAGTGGCCAGCCCATTAGGCTCCAGCATCAGCTGTGTCTAAGGGAGAGGTGGAGGCCAAGTGCTATAAGGGGTCAGAAAGGGACTGCTGGCTGCTATTCTAGTTTTATTTCTGTTGCTGCGATAAAAGGCTCTGACAGCCTTGGGGAGAAAGGGTTCTATTGCCGCTTAGAACTCCAGGTTACAGTCCTCATGGGGAAGTCAAGGCAGGAGCTTCAAACAGCTAGTCGTCACATCCACAGTTAAGACCAGAGAGAAGCCGGGCGTTGGTGGCGCACGCCTTTAATCCCAGCACTCGGGAGGCAGAGGCAGGCGGATCTCTGTGAGTTTGAGACCAGCCTGGTCTGCATGAGCTAGTTCCAGGACAGCCTCCAAAGCCACAGAGAAACCCTGTCTCGAAAAACCAAAAAAAAAAAAAAAAAAGAGCAGAGAGAAATGAACACGCAACCACTCAACTGCTTGCTCGTGCTCAGCTCAAGTTCTCCATTCTTACTCCCTGCCTAGGGAGTGCTGCTGCCCACAGTGGGCTGGGCCTTCCCATATTGATCGACATTAGTAACCCAGACACTCTGCAGAGATGCGCACAGGCTCAGGCGATTCTAGGTTATGTTGACAAAGCTAACCATTACAGTTACAAAGGGACAGTGTGCTACATGATGGGAGTCCTGAGATTGCCATAAAACATCTGTGCATCAGTGTCTCACCCCCCCCATGCTCCTCACACATGCTGTATGACGTCGATGCTGATGGTTTGAGTCTACTTTAAGAAACTCCATGCTGCAGCAGTCGAAGCCGCCTTCATGGAGGAAGCTGAGTGTGGCCAGGGCAGAGACAAGGGTGGGATGTAGACAGCCCAGTTGGTAGAGAATGGAGAACCCCGAGGGTGAATCGAGTCAAGAGTGTAGGGAGGGGCCAGATGGTGACAGTCTCGAGTATCTCAAGCAGGACTTTGGGCTGTGTCTCAGGCAATCTTCAGAACCACTTAAAACTCCCGGGGTGGGCACAATAATGAGGGCCAGGAAGGGGTTCAGGGAACAGGATGAGGCAGCGGGGAGCTGGGTGAGCTGTGCTCCTGCAGGTTTTCACTTTCTAGGGGGAATAATTAACTATATCATGCTGTTATTTTAATAGAGTTGTGGAGCTTTTTCTCTTCTTTCTTTTTTTTTTTTTTCTTTTTTAGAAAGAAGAGCAGGAACTATCAAGCACTCAGCATTCTAGGCTGTCAACCCAGGGCCTGGAGGAAAGATGGAGCATAAGACAGACGCATCTCCACAGGCATCACTACCCGCCTACTGAGCCTGCCCGTGTTTTGTGTGTCTAGGCCTGGAGGGTCCCGATGGGTTTTCCAAAGATGAGCCTTCAACTGTTAAGGGTTGTGCGTATCTTAAAGCCCAAGTTCCTGGTCTGGGGAGACGGCTGCGTCAGAAAAGCGCTTGCTGCCCAAGCAACAGGACCTGAGTTTGAGCCCAGTATAGGTGTAGCCCTGTGTGTCCTCCCTTGCTAAGAGCACATGGGGCCGCTGCCCCTGGCAACAGGCAAAGACACACCTTGTTGTTGGTGTTCTTATAGAGAGAGAGGCAAAGCCAATGGCCATTCTCTGTTCATCCCAACTTAGTGCCTAGATTGGTGGCCAACGCTGTTCTATACCTAGAGCACATAAAGCAAACAAACAAACAAAAAACCCGTATGGGACCAGGCTATTGCCAGGTTCACCGCAGCTACAGCACACCCCCCATTCCTTCCCCTCCTCCCTTCCCCTATATAAATCCCTTTGGAATGAATAGAGTTGTCGCCTTGGCAGACTCTTGTCTTGGCATCTGTCCTTGTGTCCCCTGCCCCCCATCTTTTTCCTAGGTGTCCACCAGACCCACGATGAGTGTCCTGCGGGTCAGTACAATGCACTTCTCGTACGAGACTCAGAAACCCCTGCACTGGAGCTGACCTGAACGCCTCCTCCTTAGGTCTAGCTCTCATGGCACCAGAAGGCATCATGGTAGCTTCCACAAAAGGGAAACCTCAGTCCTACCCGGGCATAAATGACTGTGAACCAGGGCAGGGAGCAGCACGGCTCCATAACCCTAAGAGTGCAGTAGTGGCACACACATCACAGCAGTTACCAACGCTTTTCTGATTGGACTTAAGCTCAACGAGAGGGAAACCATGCCTTAGTTCATCCTGGCTTGGTAGCCAAAGCTGTTTGGTGCTTGGGACACGCTAATAATAAAAATGTATGGGACTAGGCTATTGCTATTGTCCTCAGTCGGAACCAGCACTGGAAACCCAAACAACTAGCCAGAGCTAGTGAAGTCATGGATCTTGGAGGAGAACCTCCAACCACCGTTTAAGACACCAGTGCCTGTGTATGTAGAAATGTATGTTTATATGCATATTAGTGGATAAAGAGGCCATCAATGTGATAGAGGGCAAGGAGTGTCTATAGGAGGCTTTAGAGGAAGATAAGGGAAAGGGGAAATGATATAATTATATTAAAATCTCAAAAACAAAAATGTAAAAAGCCACTTTAAAAAACAAAGAATATATGGGACACCCCTGCGCCCCTGTCTTACTTGTTCACAAGGGAAAACCTCACTGGGTCCAAGACCATGCCAGGATGCCCAGACGGACAAATCTGTCAGTGCTCTGTGGTTTATATGGGAAAATCCCCACAACCCATGGGGAAGAGATTTGTAAGTTTATTTATACTTTAAAAGTTATCATTACACTTATTGATTGTGTATGTGCACATGCACACACACATGCACGTGTCCCACAGAGCTGCATGGAATTCAGAGGACATAAACCTGCTGTGGAGGCACTTGTCTGGAGTCTCAGCACGCCTGGAAGTGGAGGCTGGAGGCTCATGAGTTCAAAGGTCACTTTCGGTGGCATATTGACTTGGAGGCTAGCCTGGGCTACGCTACATGAGATCTTGTCTAAAAACAAAGTCACAGTATTTAGTAGTCAAATCAGCCATCAGGGTCAGTCCAGGGTTGCCATGGGGACACAGAGCCTCCTGTCTTCAGTGAGGTTGATGGTTCTAGAAGAACTTGTGAGACACTGTGACAACTGTATTCAGAAAATACAGTGTACCCAGACCAGAGCATGCAACATCATGCACTTCTAAATAGACTTTAAAAACAGGATTAGCTGGTTAATTTTATTTATCAAAGAAGCTTCTAAAAACATTTATTACCAAATAAAGACAAATTAGGAGACATTTAGGAAAAGGGAGATGATTGTGTCTATTTAGAAGGAAGAAGCTTCTAGAAGGACCCATTTCCAGATGGCACCAGGTTTCCTCTGTGGTTTTTATCTTGTTATTTTATGTTATCTAACTTTTGAGCAGCAAAGAATTTTTTTTCATGAAATAAGATTTGCTTCTAGTTTTAAATATATGTATATATATATATATATATATATATAGTGTGTGTGTGTAGGTGTGGGTGGGTTTGTGCACTTGAGTGTAATGTCCATGAAAGACAGAAGATGGTGTCTGATCCCTGCACCTGGAGTCATAGGTAACTGTAAGCTGCCTGACATGGGTGCTGAGAACTGAACTCAGGTCCTCTGCAAGAGCAGAGTTGAGTCTCCAGCTGGGATTATTTTTCTAACTTAAAAAAAAGACAGCTATTTCTCTGCTAAAAAACAAATAACAGCCCAAAGGGTGCAATTAGGTGGAAAATGGTATAAAATCAGAGCTCTAAACAGAAGGAAAACCTTTTTTTTTCTCTTTTGAGAGAGGGACTCACTTTGTAGCCAGGCTGGCCTCTGGAACATAAAGTCATTCTCCTGCATAGGCTCCCGAGATGGGGGATTATTGGTATGCGTTGCCACACACCCCTCTCTTTAAAAGCAAATTCGGGGAGGGTCTCACTTTGTAGCTTGGGCTGGTCTTGAACTCTGGATCCTCTGTCTCCATTTCCTGGGTACTGTAGTCATCCGCATGAGCCACCACCCTCAGCTGGGAATGAAACTCTTCAAGGTTGAACTTCTAAAGCCTTGGGCAGAGCCTGAGACCTTGAAGAGAGAATTTGGGCATAAATCATCCCCTGCTCTCTTATTGGACTGAGAAAGAGCAGGAATAGTGTGTGTGTGTGTGTGTGTGTGTGTGTGCGCGCGCGCGCGCGCCCATGACATGAGGTGTGTGTAGTGCTGTGCACAATGCAGAAGCTTTCATGTTCATGAATGCATGCTGGGTGCGGTGTGTGCTCGCTTACACAGGTGTGCGTGCACACGTGGTAATGTCTTAGGGGACCCCTGATGCTCAAACACACTTCTGGCAACGCTGTTCCAGGCGGCAAAGCTCTTGAGCTTGCGGAGGCTCCAGTGGCCCTGTCCCCCAACTTCTCCCTGTTCTCCTTTCTCCACTCTCTGCCTTCCCACTCCATTGCAGCCCCCGGCCCCTCGATCATACCAGAGGCAGGGGTGTCTGTCGTTTCATGCTATCTAACGCCCCCTCCCCAGACCTTGACAAGTTGCTGGGATTGGGTGAGGGTACGGAGGGGAAAGGAGCTTCGCAGGCCAGGCAGAAAATGAGAGGGAATGAGACCATCAGGAAGGGACAAGAACAGCACCCTGAATCCTTGCTATGAACACATTCCTCGATTGAGTGAGGGCTCCGCTCAGTTCGGTTCATACGTAGACAGGACCTGTGGACATCTCACTGTTGTTATTACCCTTCTGAAACGCACAGACACACTCGCCACGACTGACACCTTCGTATGGGCCCTGGTGCAGGAGTTTTTGAACAGAGAAGGACCAGGTAGTTCTCTCTGTCCCCAGAGAAACTCCAACACATTCATACCTGGAGACACTCGCAGGAAGGTTCCTGCCTAGACTTTGTGACAAATGACAAATCTGGAGACGAATGAGTTTTTTACCGTGGAAGATGGATCACCCACAGCAGTGGAGGGCCACACAGCAGTTAGAGCCGGGTCCTGACACTCACGAGTCTCATGACACACTGCTGTTGTTACTGGCAATCACACGTGCCACTGGCTGGCCTCCCACTTTGCTGTGTGGCTAAGGATGACCTTGAACTTCTGGCCCTCCTGCCTCTGCCTCCCAAGTGCTATCATGCCCGGCTTCATGTAGTTCTAGGGATGGGCTCCAGGGCTTCACGAAGGCTGCATCCGACAACTGGGTTACACAGCCAGCCCCAGGCACAGTACAGACAGAAGGATTGCCTGCGGTGCGGATATGATTTATGTAATTTTTAAAGCCTGTAAATATGAGCTGGAGTTTAACTCAGTGACAAAGTCCTTGCCTGCCATGCACAAGTCCCTGGGTCCCAATCCCTGGCATTTTGAGTAGAACTATAAATAAGCACATAGGATGGCCAGGTATGGTGTCACACACCTTTAACCCCAGCACTTGGGTGGCAGAATCAGGAAGACTCTGAGTTCAAGATGAGATCCTGTCTCGAAAAGGAAAGAAAAAGAGAAAAGAAGGAAGGAGTGAGGGAGGGAGGGAGGGAAGGAAAGGAGGGAGGGAGGGAGGGAGGGAGGGAGGAAGGGAGGGAGGAAGGAAGGAAGGAAGGAAGGGAAGGAAAGAAGGAAGGATACATACACTACATTTGGGCCAGTGATTACCCCTGGGGTTTGTGGAATGAACAGGGAGGGAGCTGAGGACATCAGCTGTGCTGGGCTCCTAATCCGTCGCTGAGAATCAAACTGTCACACAGCCAGCAGCTTACAGCAGCGCGTGCTTATTATCTCCGTTTGAGAGAAGGTGGGTTGTTAATGTGATGGACTACATTGATTGACTTTTGAATATCGAACCAGCCTGGCATTCTGGGATGAGCCCCATTCGGCCGAGGTGTAATTCTTTCTGTGTATTGATGCAGTCACCTGCCTAGTATTTTGCATAATATTTTAGTTGTTAGGCTCCTGAGGAATGGCAGTCTGCGGGTTTCTTCTCCTGTCTCTTTCTCCTGTTTAAAAACAAAGGCGATCTCAGCCCCTCAGACTAGTTTTGATGTATTCCCATCTCTCCTGTTTTTAGGAAGACATCATAGGATAAGCATAGCATGTTCTTTTAATGTTTGGTAGGATTCAGCTGAGAAACCATACGGCCTAGGTATTTCAGTTTTGTTTTGTTTTTTGGTTTTTCGAGACAGGGTTTCTCTGTGGCTTTGGAGGCTGTCCTGGAACTAGCTCTTGTAGACCAGGCTGGTCTCTAACTCACAGAGATCCACCTGCCTCTGCCTCCAGAGTGCTGGGATTAAAGGCGTGCGCCACCAACGCTCAGCCTATTTGTTTTTAAAATAATTTTAACTTACTTAAGAGATACAGGATTGGGCTGCTCACTTATTTTTGGAATGCATTTTAGTTAGTGCATTGATCGATTGCTTGAGACAGGGTATCAGTATGTAGCCAACAGAAACTTGATATGCAGCTTAGGCTGGCCTTGAACTCACAGAGTTAAACCTGTCTCTCCTTCCCAACTGCCTGTGTATTTCTTTTGGGACACACTCCCGTATTCCAGCTAGCTTTAAACTTACTATACAGACTAAAACTTACAGGTGATAATTACTTGCCATGCGGGTGCTGGGACTCAAACCCAGGCCCTTTATAAAAGCAATAAGCAGCCGGGCGGTGGTGGCGCACACCTTTAATCCCAGCACTCGGGAGGCAGAGGCAGGCGGATCTCTGTGAGTTC